ATACAGCCCTCTCCAGGCCGTCTGAGTGAAGCTCTTTTATTGCGTAACAAAACTCGCCATTTACAACTTTTGAACACTTTAAAGGGCTGCGCCGCGTGCGCCGGAGGCGATGCACACGCGCGGGAGGTTGCGGCTCGTGGCTGCCACCGCAGCCGGGCCGACTGGGGCAGGGAAGGGGGAAGGCTCCTCAGCTCTTCTTGGCCGGTTACGCAGAAGCGCTTCGCACTTATTGCAAGCAACCCCAGGGAGTTTGGGACTCCGAATGACCTGGGTACGTACGGGACCTTCAGCCAGCAACAGTTGTGTCAAGGAAATGCTGGGGAGGGCTCGCTTCCGCATCTGAATGACCGCAAGGGGAGCGGGGGGGGGGTGGCTCATGCTGTGTTCAGGGGTGCAGAGCTGTGCCAGCGCCCAACCCAGACGTGCTTTGGGCCCTCCGCCCCAGGGGGGCTCCCAGCCCGCAGGGAGGCAAAATACTGTTCTTGGGCCTCGGCTTTTTTTTTTCTTTCTCTCTTCTACAGAAGCTAGGCCAAACCTGGCACTGGTTGCAAAGCCCTCCTGGCTCCAGCAAAGGGCTTTGGATATCAAACTGCTACGAGCAACTAAAAAGCAGCGTCCCCCGGGGCGGCGGGGCGGGAGGCAGTGACGGGCAGACACTGTACGCACACTGGCAGGCAGCTGGAGCGGCACGTCTGTTCAAGACAGTGGAGCGCAATGGGTATAAACCAGGGAGTGCTTTGTTCAGAAAAGGCTTCCAACTCAACCCGGCCGTGACTGGAAAACACCAGCCCCCGTCCCAACACGCCGGGGCTTGGCTAACTGCTGCTCTGTTCCTTGCTCACCCTCATCCTTTCTCCCCTGCTATCGAGTAGCACGGGCACGCTTCGCACAGCAAAAGCTCCTCCAAACAGAAGCAGAGGCTCCTCCTGTCCCTGCTGACAACTCGTATTTACAGGGTGGCCCCATCCTACATGCAAGCCCCCCACCCCCCCCCCCCAAGGTGAGGAGAAGGCTGCGCAGCGGAGCACAGCCAAAGCCCCTGCCCCATGGCAGAGGCACGCACTCACCGGGTGCATGCACTTGTTTCTTTC